CAGAGTTACTTTTTCTCATATGATAAGGGAATCGAACACAGGTCTGCATTTCAACAGTCTTCGAGGTGTAGCAACTGAACTGAAGTTACTGAACTATGCCAGCTTTTTTTCAGTATTCCAAAGCTAAGATACATACATATCCTCTCTCAATTTCACCTCTCACTACCGTACCTACCACTACGCCTCAGCCTATACAAGCTACCCCTGCAAGCATAGCTAGCCCAGTTGGTCTGACAGCGATTCCTTTTTCATCTTTTTTCTATGATAATCACCTTTTTGCTAATCTTCTTTGTACCATGACAGAGATTTGTGACTAATTGTTCATGCTCTGTGCAATCTTCAACTCAGACAACGGCCTGACAGACACTGGGCGTCGTCACACCACTCTGGAAATGTGAAAAAGACAAATATATGTGGCGGGTGCACCTGGCCATGTTCTACGGGGAAGTTCATTCTCATTTTGCACATTTCGACAGTGGTGTGGCGATGCCCTCTGTTCGTGCACGGTGCACCTACGCCAGCTAAATTCCTCTACATTCACCCTACCCTCGCTTCTGATCGACATTTCCAAGAGACTGGTTTCTCTACTCGCCATCGGCCGACATTTTGAAATGCATCTGGACTCGAGAGTTTTCCAGATGCATTCACAATGCTGGCCGATGGCGAGTAGTGCAACTTCCCCCAGTCCAGAAAACGCATCTGATTCATTAGCATTACTAGCAGATCAGCAGCTCCAGATAACGATCGGGAAAAGACGTATCAACGGATGGCATTGCTTTCTATTCGGATAACGAGAACCCGTTTGCAGCTGTCAGTTTTGAATTTTTTTTATTTATTTTTTTTAAGTCAGTTTTGAAATTTAAGTGCAGGAGGTGGGAGTTGTACCTACCCGTCCGTCTTTTTGGCTGGTACACCAAATTGAATCAGGAAGTTGAGACTGGAGCCGATGTTGGGCCTCGCTCCACTACACTGCACTTTGCATGCATTTGGAGGCATGCTGGACCCCATGCATTTGAAATGTTTGCCTGATCCGGATGATGCATCTGGTCCACAAAGTGACCAAATGCATGTGGACTGTTGTCTAGTGGAGCGACGCCGGATGTTGGGCTTGGCTGATTTTTTTTTTTTTTTTTTTTTTTTTTTTTTTAAGCCCTTGTGTAAGCACTCTATCCCGACGGTGGTAAGAGAACCGTCAGAATTGAGGGCTTATCTGTCGGGAGGCTCGACTAACCAAAAGTGCAAAAAAGTGAGAATGAGTCTTCCTCGAGAACGTAGAAAGGATGGCCCTGATGAAAATACTGTGGAAAGAGGGAGGAGGTCGGCAGGCATCCAGGCGCCCCGTAGCGCTTTGGTGCGCTAAGTTTGTAGCACAGCCCTAGCGCCCCGGGGCGGCCGACGCTTGACGATGAAGTGGGTTCGTCGAGTCCTGTGGCCACGAGTTGTGGAAAGACGAACACCCCGATTGGAAGAAGGTATGGCGGTCCCATATCGTCTGTTGTCCATACCCTAACCTGATCCTTGATTGGAGGGGGAGTGCCTTGCACTCAGGGTATGGGCCCCACCCGGTCTCCTTCGGCTTCCATCTTACTCAAGTAATGAAACCTTTACGTCAGAAAATGACGAAGATTAGGCATTTAGCCTGATTGGCGAGATCAAGTCTGGAAGAAGACCATTGTCTGGAAGAAGATCATTGCTCGTCCCTGCGGCGGCAGGTGCGAGTCTCCGAGATGAGGTTACGATAAGACACGCGACGCGGCGGACGTGAAGGATGGCAGCAGCGTCTATGCAAGCGGTAGCAGAGCTAGTATGGGCGGTGGGAGTGCTGTCGCCAAAACCAAGGACACAGGGGGGCTCATTAGTTTCAGGTTCGGCACCTGGTCGTGGTTGTTGGGTAGATTCATTTGTGTGAGTTTCTATGCGTTGTACTGAGCCGTATTCGTTGGTTAGATTTATAGATTTAGGGCTACTCTATAGAAATGAGGTTTTCTTTTTAGTGCATATAGTGACACGTTATCTCGTTGAGGGGATTTGCAAACTTCTTTGAGGTATCACAGAAGGTGCAACCAAGACAGCAGTGTCATGCAGTGAAAGTGGTTTAGGGCGAAACTCACGGGATTACCAGTAGTAGTGCCTCGAGGAGCAGTGAGAGTGTGACAAGGGGCAGTGGGAACTCTACTGGTCTGGTGGTAAGAGAGACCTGGTAAAGAGTAAACTAGAGTTGTATCCATTGGGTGCGTGGTGGGAAACCCGTCTAGGCAACAAAGACTCTTTACAGTGCTTTGGACAGTGATGATGAGAGTGGTGGTTATTTGGAGGTCTAGAAGGTTGGGCGTTATCTATATTTGTGGCTATATTTAGTATGGATTTCTGTAGAAAATATTGACCTCGTTTTCTTGTTGCTCTCTAGGCTAGTATAACCTCTGTGCTGCTGTCTTTTGGTCGTATTTGGGGGCACCGCCATCCTTTGGTATGTGGTTGTTTCGTGAATTCCGAGGAAAGTGAAATCCGCAATGTTCCTTTCGGTTCTGTTACATGCCTTGCCTTTAATGTTTCATTTTTTAGAAATATGTAATGTAAACAGTTCGGATATAGTAATGGGGGGGTGTAGGAATTTGGTCTATACTGGTTATGAGGTTGGAAGTTTGCAGTGGTCTAGGGTGTAACTCACGGGACTACCAGTAGCAGTGCCTCGAGGGGAAGTGAGAGTGCGACAAGAGGCAGCGGGAACTCTACTGGCCTGGTGGTAAGAGAGACCCGGTAAAGAGCAAACTAGAGTTGTATCCATTGGGTGCGTGGTGGGAAACCTGTCTAGGCAACAAAGGCTGCTTTCTTCCCTCCTCTGATCTAAGCCTCTTCTCCCCCACACCTTCCTTCTGCTACGTTTCTACTATAATAGGTCGGTTATGCTGATTTCTCTCCTCACACTTGATATGTGCATGAATTGGATTGTGCATGAGAACCTGTGTCAGCCTGACGGGGATGTTGATTGATTGATCAGATGAACGCGGGATGGGATTAAGCAGTGTCAAATGAATGATGCATGATTAATCGTGCGCTTTGTCCTTGTTGCCATGTGGACCGACAGCCCCAATCGGACTGGGCGCCGACTTCTCGTGCCCCCGCCACACCCCTTCCCGTACAACGAGGAGAGGACACGTGTATGCGAGTGGGACGTACGAGAAGCCGTCACCAAGGTCGGCGGGCGTTATTCCTTCCCACCCGAGACCCGGTGCTCCGGATTCATCGGTGCGGGATTCGTCATCATCGATACGCACTTTCCGCCTTATTCGTTGTTGTTGTCATTTAATGAGTTGATCGTCATCCCGTGGTCGGCAGTGGTGCCTCATTGGCCTAACACTCTGTGCAGCGACTGTCACCGCACTGAGCGTTACAGAGTCAAGGGTTTCCATTACTGCACATGTGGCAAGGACGGACACAAGGGGAGAGCCACTCGATTGAGACCCTCCACGTCGGACTCAGAGCTGTGTAGTGAACGCCGATGGGATCTCATCCGAAAACAGGATA